TCATAATTTATTGTACAAATTGAGTATCACATGATGAGTTGACATTAGCTTCTCCAGGCATGGGAACTTAACAGATGAGGTACAGGTTAAAATTCTATAAACAAAGCAAAAATAGTTTAGACACAATTGTGTTCAACTCTACTTTTAAGGTATTCAGTAATTACTAGTATAGGACTATCCATGAACCCCCTCAAATTGAATGCAAATTCCTCAGATTCTCAGAGTCAGTAACCACCCCAAAATGAAGGCATCTCTCAGCTTAATACAGTTTAACCTAACGCTTCACCTTTAACAAAAGAGCTGCCAACAATTCAGCATGATCCTGAATGTATGCTACTGGAAAAGTCTAGTGTACAAAGTAACATTTTAAACAGTAGTAAACATCTCAGATAAAATTTCTCCATTTTTATAATGGGGATACTACCACTCTCCCCAAAAGTTGGGAGGTACCTCATCCGGAAAACTGGGCAAAAACTACCTGTTTGCCAGGAATAAGTCATGGACCACTGCATTCTGGGGTATGTAGTCTTAAGTCAATAGTTTTGAGATTGGAAAAGCTTTTAAGAGCAGAGGAAAAATTTTCTGTGGAGAGCTACAGTAAATAAAGATCTGGGTTTTGGGTTTTCTGCACATCATCTACTACCAAAACAAATATTTATTCACTCAAGCATGGGCAAATGGAGGTTGTGGTGCCCCATAAGAAGAAAATGAAATCTATGGGAATTTAAGGAAAATATAAAATTGCTTATATAAAAATTTGAGGCTAGCAAAAAATAAGATATACTTGCAATGTATTTAAAAGGTTGGTTAATAATTATTACATAAAGGGCTTATGTAAGAGAAATAAGGTCTTCACAAAGAGAAAGACTCAACTGTTAAATGAGAAAAACAGGGAATGTTAAGAAAAATACAAATGGTAAACAAATGGAAAAAATGTATAACTTCATTAAAAAGACATTTTCACTCATCAAATGAGCAAAGGTCAGAAACTGATTATTCAACATTGGCTAGGGCAAGAGAGACACCCTCTTACAAAGCTGGGTGCCCCATAACCTTTGGGGAAAGCACCTAAGCCTAAAACAATCATACAGACAACACATCATGCTCAAAAGTGTTCAATGCAATGTTATTTATATTTAAAAAAATCCTAACAGGGAACAGATATAAATCATATATCCATAAATACTCATACATTCAAATAATAGAAAAAATATTTGTTAGAAGACAATATTACAGACATGACTCACAGCCACTGGAAACCAAACAAAAAATATAAAAAAAAGAGCCAAACCAAAATGTTAAAAATTGTCAGGGTAACAGGATATGAACAATATTTTCCTCTTGTATGTAACTTTGCACAATGACAACAATTTACTTCTATGGTGAGGGAAAAAGCCCTAACAACAAAATGGCTGTTATAAACTTAAATGTCAATTCCTTACCATTTATGTTGCTTTCACAGCTGGTGTTTTTTTAGACCTTAACTTGAAGTATAAGATCATCAAAG